TATACACACAATACAGTGATGGAGTGAGTGATGATGACAGTGTTTTTTTTCTTTTTCAGGTCGCCCTGCGGTGGAAAACAGCCGATGTGTTAAAAGAAAAAAAAATACACACACAATGCATCATTCACATAGTCTATTCACCAAGGATTTAATAATAAGAATGCTTGGCTCAATCTAATCCTCTCTTGAAACTAATGAATATCAATGTCTCTCTTTCTTGATGTAAACAAAGTCCTGGATACAGTAGACCACAACATCCTGTGCTCAGATTAGAACATTATATAATCAGATAAATTAGACACATGTGCAACTCTTGGGTATCTTTATTGAGGAAATGTTTTGCCACACAGTGGCTTCATCAGTCCATACAAAGGAGAATCTTGAGAATTCTTCATTGGCCTAATTCTTGGGCACGACCTACTTCCACATTGAACAAATGTGACACCGCCTATGACTGCTGCACCTCTCCTGCCTACGGTTTATAAGCTCCTTCTCCGCACGTATGCCGTATTCTATTCAAGATTGATGGACTGACCACATCGACTCAAGGTTGAGGGACTGATTACCTAATTCTCCTCCTGTTCTTCAAGATTCTCCTTTGTATGGACTGATGAAGCCACTGTGTGGCAAAACGTTTCCTCAATAAAGATACCCAAGAGTTGCACATGTGTCTAATTTATCAACATGTCGGTTCTCTGAACCATTCATCTACATTACATAATTAGATGGAATTCTCTCCCATAAATGAAATCTTACCCAAGTGACAGACACCAACATGTTACCATTAATAACTATTCTTCAGCAATGCTATTAATCAACATAGGGGTGCCACAAGGCAGTCTCCTGGGCTCTCTGCTATTCCTCATCTATGTCCACAACTTCCCTGATGCTTCAAGATCATCATTTGCAGATGACAAGTTTTGTCATATCAAATGGAAACCCAACTTCCTGAACAAGACAATTAATATGAGTTATGAGAATTTTTCTATTCCAGAGCCTGGCCTTGGGTCAAGCTCAAAATATTCATTAAAACATATAAATAAATTAGGAAAACACTGTAAAGTGATGCACTGTAAAGTGAGACCTGCCTGTACATAATGAATTCCATGTATCATTATAATATGCAGAGTGATATGACTGTGATAAGTAAAATTATTTTGTATAAAATGTAATTGTTTTGTTCACATTGGTAATATTACATTTTCTCCATGGGGAAGTGGAACAGAATACAGTGGACCCCCGGTTAACGAACTTTTTTCATTCCAGTAGTATGTTCGGGTGCCAGTACTGACCGAATTTTTTCCCATAAGGAATATTGTGAAGTAGATTAGTCAATTTCAGACCCCCAAACATACACGTACAAACGCACTTACATAAATACACTTACATAATTGGTCGCATTTGGAGGTGATCGTTATGCGGGGGTCCACTGTACTTCCTTCGTAAGCCATGCATATCATAAGAGGCAAATAAAATGCCAGAAGCAAGGAGCTAGTAACCTTTTTTCTGTATAAATTACTAAATTTAAAAAGAAAAACTTTTGTTTTTCTTTTTTAGGTCACCCTGCCTAGGTGGGATATGGCCAGTTCATTGAAAAATACACAAATAAATAATACATACACCAAATGAAAAGCATGAGGGTAAATTCTTGGGTATACACCTGGGCAGCAAACTAAAATTCAACATGCACATCCTTAACATACCAAAACAGTGGTCATTCTCTCTCAAAAAAATATTATTATGAACCTTGAACATTCTTGCTCACTCTGTATAACTCTAATTAATCCCTACCTAACCTACAATATTTATACATGGAAATCAATAGCAGCAAACCACCTTAAACCTGTTATTACCCAGCACAAATCTACTCTTCCAGTAATTACCTTAACCATGCTGTTACCTAGCACAAATCTACTCTTCCTGTAATTGTTCATTCAGGTTCCAGGCAACACACCTTTTCCTGTATTCATAAGTTTAAATTTGCTTCAAATTCAAGATATTGACACTAATGTTCAAGCTATGTATGTATATAGGGTACTCGGAACAAACATTAACCAAGAGCTTAAACTCTACCACATATATGATTCAACCTGATCAGAAATTCCATGCACAGGAAAGCTCCATAATATGGAACTCTCTGTTTGAACCATTGTTACGAACATAGTCAGTTGGTCCCTGGGTTATAGTGCTTTTCGTAACAAAATAAACTTAGTACAGTGGACCCCCGCATAACGATCACCTCCAAATGCGACCAATTATGTAAGTGTATTTATGTAAGTGCGTTTGTACGTGTATGTTTGGGGGTCTGAAATGGACTAATCTACTTCACAATATTCCTTATGGGAACAAATTCGGTCAGTACTGGCACCTGAACATACTTCTGGAGTGAAAAAATATCGTTAACCGGGGGTCCACTGTATATCTAGGTACTCACTTCAGAGGAAAAGGAATTTTTTTAGTTTCTATTTAATTTATTAATAACCATAATAATCACTTAAATTCACCTTCTCATATTTTGCACTATGAGTAGAATACTTTTACCATTTCTCATTAAAACAACACAGTACTAGGTCAAGAATTTACAAATGGCTCTGAGTGAGTCACGAAACATTAGTATATGCACATGCACAGGCGTTGCCTAAAAACTCAAACACAATAGATTTCTTATGATAGGGTTCACTTTACAATAAGTCCTCATACACTACAGAGGCTTGCTCACTTGGCTTCACTTTCTCTAAGAGCTTCTCAACCGCCTTCTCCAACCGAGATAAGTCTTAGCAGTAAGTTCCCGAAAATTCCTGGGATTTTCTAGGGAGGCGAATGGTGATTTAGAGGTGGGTACTTCCCTCGACCCTTCCTGGTCCAGAGGAAGGTATGAACTGAACTCTGTGAAGCTTTATCAGCCCACTTTGTCTCGGTCAGAGCAGGGGTAGAGCAGCTCAAAACACCTACTAGTGCTTGGCCAGGTCACCAGCAGTTGACACTAATTAAATGACCTACCTAAATACAAAGCTAAGTAATACGACCAGATAATATTATAAAGTCGAGTAAATCCATTTTAGCTACTAATGGAATTACTCCTGAATATAATATTAAGTGAAATAGCAAAAATAACATGTAAAAGTATACCATTGTGATAATAACAAGAAGAAAATGAACAAAATGAACAAAATGAACAAAAGGGTGTAACAACCATTAACCCTTTCAGGGTCCGTCCCGTAGATCTACGGCTTTATGGTGAGTGTCCAAACCGTAGATCTACGCCATGAGCTCAGCTCACTCTGATAAACTGTGAGTGGTACATTTGGGCCTAGATATGAGAGAATACATCTATGTGGTATGTGTGCACCACATAAAACAGATCCTGCAGCACACTGTGTATGAGAGAAAAAAACTGAAATCATGATTTTTTGATTAAAACAGCAACTTTGCAGTGTTTTTTCGTATGTTTTTTATAGTTGTATTTGCGATTTCTTGGTCTCATTTGATAGAATGGAAGACATATTACAGAAATAGAGATGATTTTGATTGGTTTTAGCACTGGAAATGGCTTGAAACTGAGCTCAAAGTAGCGGAAATGTTAAATTTTTGCCGATATTCAAGAGTAAACAAACGACCTCACACGTCTAATACGTCAGCTGGTGGGTCTAATATACATTCACAAATATGGTGATGATATTTATACAATTATTACAGTATTGCATAGCAGTAAATCTTCTATTTTTTGGTGTGAATAAAAATTCATTATGTGAATAAAAAATCAAAATGGAATTTATTTGTAAAGCCTCAAAACATGACTAATGAACAGAGGAAATGTTAGTTTAGTGCCAGGAATGCCTACATTGTTTATTCTGGACCCTATTTTGAAATTGGAATATTTTGAACTTTGTGTTAAATTGGCCAAATTAACAATTTCCAATCACTTTATTTTGTAGTTGAAACAGTTGACTTGGCGATTTCTTGTGCTCAATCGATAGAATAGAAGTAATACTAGTGAAATAGCTAAGAATTTGGTTGATTGGAATAATGTAATTGGCCTAAAATGGGAGTCAAAGTCGGCAAAATCGCCGATTCGTAAATATCGCTGACACATCAAAATTCGCGAGAGCATAATTTCGTCAATTTTCCACCAAATTTCGTACTTTTTGTTTTATTACCTTCACAAAAAGATTCTCTACGATTTCATAAGAAAAAATAAAAATTTTTTTTTTTTGAAAATTCTTGGACACTGGTGCGTGACTCCAGATTTGGGCCTTGGACCCTGAAAGGGTTAATTGTAATAATACTTTTATTATGTGACGGCCGACTTGTTAAAAAAAAAAAAATGAGAGGGGTTGGATTTGAGTGGGACTTGCACATTAGTAAATACAATTATCAAAGCTTATTGCTTAGGTAGCAGTGAAAACTAGGTTGGGCAAATATTGTTAGTGGGATGGATTGTGAAGGACCTGCCTAGTATGGGCCAACAGGCCTGCTGCAGTGTTCCTCATTTATGTTCTTATGTGTGGAGCGTCAGTTATCTCCACATAACTCCAACACTGCCACGTGGCGGCACTGACAGCCAGAGTATGAACTGAAACAGTTGTGTCTCAGCGCTTGTAGTTTTCACATGTGTGTCTGCTGTTCACTGAGAACAGTAGATACATGTTCCTGGTCTATAATTACCCCATTATTTCATTTATCAATATATTACTCTATAAATAAACCATAGCAGTATTTTTAGTCTTTATTTATCCTACTCAGTGTGAGTATTCATAGATTTTTGCTGCAATGTTAATGTTTGATTATGGGGTGCTGCTCTAGACCCCACCTTCATTCTGAAATTTGAAAAATTCTGAAATTCGAAACACTGCTAGCCTCAAGGGTTTCGGATAAAGGGATATGGACCTGTACCACTAAATGTTCTGATATATTAGTTTCTCCGCTAAAACATGCATATCCAAATGAATCAATCAACTTTATACTCACCAGTACCTGATCCAACAAACTACTTTCAATACCTGTAAGATTCCCTGGCCAGTGTGGACTAGAAGGTCTGCAGCACCACCTATGGGCTTGGTGACGATGCCTACCAAACCTTTGCCAACACCTCCCACCACACTGCTGGCAGTAACTCCCTCGCTCATCATAGCTTGCATGGGCTGGTGTGCCAGTCCACCAACAGCACCTGATAACAAAAAATCAGGATGTCACTTGTGTAGTAAGTGGTTAGTATGGCCATAATGAAGTATGTGGTCAGTATTTCACTTGTGTAGTAAGCGGTCAGTATGTCAATTGCATAGTAAGTGGTCAGTACATCACTTGTGCAGTAAGTGATCAGTATGTCACTTGTGTAGTAAGTGGTCAGTATGTCACTTGTGCAGTAAGTGGTTAATATGTCATTTGTGTAGTAAGTGGTCAGTATGTCACTTGTGTAGTAAGTGGTCAGTAAGTCACTTGTGTAGTAAGTAGTCAGTATGTCACTTGTGTAGTAAGTGGTCAGTAAGTCACTTGTGTAGTAAGTGGTCAGTATGTCACTTGTATAGTAAGTGGTCAGTAAGTCACTTGTGTTGTAAGTGGTCAGTATGTCATTTGTGTAGTAAGTGGTCAGTATGTCACTTGTGTAGTAAGTGGTCAGTAAGTCACTTGTGTAGTAAGTGGTCAGTATGTCATTTGTGTAGTAAGTGGTCAGTATGTCACTTGTGTAGTAAGTGGTCAGTATGTAACCCTGTATATGTAATACAGTATGTAGTGGTCAGTATGTTACTCAAGAACTAAGCACAAATAGTACTAAGTATATTTAAATAAATTATACAATACTGAATATTGGAATAAAAAACGAAAATAACACAAAATACAAATTAAATCATTTTTTCCTTCCTGGATACCAAGATTGTTGTAACCAGATGCCAGATGTGGTGCATCTGGTGAATATTGTGCACCTGGTGAACACTGTACATCACACAAACAACCCGCACACAAAAGAGAGAAGCCTACGACGACGTTTCGGTCCGACTTGGACCATTTACAAAGTCACACTAACCAGAAGTGAAGCAGGACGGTTATATATAGACAGGAATAGGTGGTGGTGGTAGTAGTAGTAGTAGTAATAGTACAAGAATGGTATATACAGTGGACCCCCGCTTAACGATCACCTCCAAATGCGACCAATTATGTAAGTGTATTTATGTAAGTGCGTTTGTACGTGTATGTTTGGGGGTCTGAAATGGACTAATCTACTTCACAATATTCCTTATGGGAAAAAATTCGGTCAGTACTGGCACCTGAACATACTACTGGAATGAAAAAAGTTCGTTAACCGGGGGTCCACTGTAATACCGACAAGATGAAATTAAGACACATGCGCAACACCCAGGCATCCCTATCGTAGACGTTTTGCCATCCAGCCAGCCACTGGATGGCGAAACGTCCACAACAAAGACGACCAGACGCCGCACATGTGTCTTAATTTCATTGGTAGTAGTATTAGTAGTAGTAGTAGTAGTAGTAGTAGAAGAAGAGATAGTAGTAGTGGTAGTGGTAGAAGTGGGGAATAAGGAGGACGAGCCAGTCAAATACAAAGGAAGGGGAGCACTGCAAGAGAGCTAGGTGCCCACAGAGGGAGAGCAAGCGCACAGAGGTGCGTGAAAGGGGAAGTGGTGAAATAAATGAAGAAGGAACAGAACGTTGTGGACGTTTCGCCATCCAGTGGCTGGCTGGATGGCGAAACGTCTACGATAGGGATGCCCGGGTGTTGCGCATGTGTCTTAATTTCATCTTGTCGGTATTATATACCATTCTTGTACTACTACTACTACCACCACCACCACCTATTCCTGCCTATATATAGCCGTCCTGCTCCACTTCTGGTTAGCGTGACTTTGTAAAGGGTCCAAGTCGGACCGAAACGTCGTCGTAGGCTTCTCTCTTTTGTGTGCGGGTTGTTTGTGTGTCGTCCCAGTCACGGTATTGTGCCTTTTTTGTTATTTACTGTACATCACACTGTGCACCTGGTGAACACTGTACATCACACTGTGCACCTGAACACTGTACATCACACTGTGCACCTGGTAAACACTGTACATCACACTGTGCACCTGGTGAACACTGTACATCACACTGTGCACCTGGTAAACACTGTACATCACACTGTGCACCTGGTAAACACTGTACATCACACTGTGCACCTGGTAAACACTGTACATCACACTGTGCACCTGGTAAACATTGTACATCACACTGTGCACCTGGTGAACATTGTACATCACACTGTGCACCTGGTAAACATTGTACATCACACTGTGCACCTGGTAAACACTGTACATCACACTGTGCACCTGGTAAACATTGTACATCACACTGTGCACTGGTGAACACTGTACATCACACTGTGCACCTGGTAAACACTGTACATCACACTGTGCACCTGGTGAACACTGTACATCACACTGTGCACCTGGTGAACACTGTACATCACACTGTGCACCTGGTAAACACTGTACATCACACTGTGCACCTGGTGAACACTGTACATCACACTGTGCACCTGGTAAACACTGTACTTCACACTGTGCAACTGGTGAACATTGTACATCACACTGTGCACCTGGTGAACACTGTACATCACACTGTGCACCTGGTAAACACTGTACATCACACTGTGCACCTGGTGAACACTGTACATCACACTGTGCACCTGGTAAACACTGTACTTCACACTGTGCACCTGGTGAACATTGTACATCACACTGTGCACCTGGTAAACACTGTACTTCACACTGTGCACCTGGTGAACACTGTACACCACACTGTGCACCTGGTAAACACTGTACATCACACTGTGCACCTGGTGAACACTGTACATCACACTGTGCACCTGGTAAACACTGTACATCACACTGTGCACCTGGTGAACACTGTACTAATCACATGTGCACCTGGTGAACACTGTACATCACACTGTGCACCTGAACACTGTACATCACACTGTGCACCTGGTGAACACTGTACATCACACTGTGCACCTGGTGAACACTGTACATCACACTGTGCACCTGGTGAACACTGTACATCACACTGTGCACCTGGTGAACACTGTACATCACACTGTGCACCTGGTAAACACTGTACTTCACACTGTGCGCCTGGTGAACACTGTACATCACACTGTGCACCTGGTGAACACTGTACATCACACTGTGCACCTGGTAAACACTGTACTTCACACTGTGCGCCTGGTGAACACTGTACATCACACTGTGCACCTGGTAAACACTGTACATCACACTGTGCACCTGGTAAACACTGTACATCACACTGTGCACCTGGTGAACATTGTACATCACACTGTGCACCTGGTGAACACTGTACATCACACTGTGCACCTGGTGAACACTGTACATCACACTGTGCACCTGGTAAACACTGTACTTCACACTGTGCGCCTGGTGAACACTGTACATCACACTGTGCACCTGGTAAACACTGTACTTCACACTGTGCACCTGGTGAACACTGTACATCACACTGTGCACCTGGTAAACACTGTACTTCACACTGTGCACCTGGTGAACACTGTACATCACACTGTGCACCTGGTAAACACTGTACTTCACACTGTGCACCTGGTGAACACTGTACATCACACTGTGCACCTGGTAAACACTGTACATCACACTGTGCACCTGGTGAACACTGTACATCACACTGTGCACCTGGTGAACACTGTACATCACACTGTGCACCTGGTGAACACTGTACATCACACTGTGCACCTGGTAAACACTGTACATCACACTGTGCACCTGGTAAACACTGTACATCACACTGTGCACCTGGTAAACACTGTACATCACACTGTGCACCTGGTGAACACTGTACATCACACTGTGCACCTGGTGAACACTGTACATCACACTGTGCACCTGGTAAACACTGTACATCACACTGTGCACCTGGTGAACACTGTACATCACACTGTGCACCTGGTGAACACTGTACATCACACTGTGCACCTGGTAAACACTGTACATCACACTGTGCACCTGGTGAACACTGTACATCACACTGTGCACCTGGTAAACACTGTACTTCACACTGTGCAACTGGTGAACATTGTACATCACACTGTGCACCTGGTGAACACTGTACATCACACTGTGCACCTGGTAAACACTGTACATCACACTGTGCACCTGGTGAACACTGTACATCACACTGTGCACCTGGTAAACACTGTACTTCACACTGTGCACCTGGCGAACATTGTACATCACACTGTGCACCTGGTAAACACTGTACTTCACACTGTGCACCTGGTGAACACTGTACACCACACTGTGCACCTGGTAAACACTGTACATCACACTGTGCACCTGGTGAACACTGTACATCACACTGTGCACCTGGTAAACACTGTACATCACACTGTGCACCTGGTGAACACTGTACATCACACTGTGCACCTGGTGAACACTGTACATCACACAGTGCACCTGGTGAACACTGTACATCACACTGTGCACCTGGTGAACACTGTACATCACACTGTGCACCTGGTGAACACTGTACATCACACTGTGCACCTGGTGAACACTGTACATCACACTGTGCACCTGGTGAACACTGTACATCACACTGTGCACCTAGTGAACACTGTACATCACCACTGTGCACCTGTGAACACTGTACATCACACTGTGCACCTGGTAAACACTGTACTTCACACTGTGCACCTGGTGAACACTGTACATCACACTGTGCACCTGGTAAACACTGTACATCACACTGTGCACCTGGTGAACACTGTACATCACACTGTGCACCTGGTAAACACTGTACATCACACTGTGCACCTGGTGAACACTGTACATCACACTGTGCACCTGGTGAAGACTGTACATCACACTGTGCACCTGGTGAACACTGTACATCACACTGTGCACCTGGTGAACACTGTACATCACACTGTGCACCTGAACACTGTACATCACACTGTGCACCTGGTGAACACTGTACATCACACTGTGCACCTGGTGAACACTGTACATCACACTGTGCACCTGGTGAACACTGTACATCACACTGTGCACCTGGTGAACACTGTACATCACACTGTGCACCTGGTAAACACTGTACTTCACACTGTGCGCCTGGTGAACACTGTACATCACACTATGCACCTGGTGAACACTGTACATCACACTGTGCACCTGGTAAACACTGTACTTCACACTGTGCGCCTGGTGAACACTGTACATCACACTGTGCACCTGGTAAACACTGTACATCACACTGTGCACATGGTAAACACTATACATCACACTGTGCACCTGGTGAACATTGTACATCACACTGTGCACCTGGTGAACACTGTACATCACACTGTGCACCTGGTGAACACTGTACATCACACTGTGCACCTGGTAAACACTGTACTTCACACTGTGCGCCTGGTGAACACTGTACATCACACTGTGCACCTGGTAAACACTGTACTTCACACTGTGCACCTGGTGAACACTGTACATCACACTGTGCACCTGGTAAACACTGTACTTCACACTGTGCACCTGGTGAACAATGTACATCACACTGTGCACCTGGTAAACACTGTACTTCACACTGTGCACCTGGTGAACACTGTACATCACACTGTGCACCTGGTAAACACTGTACATCACACTGTGCACCTGGTGAACACTGTACATCACACTGTGCACCTGGTGAACACTGTACATCACACTGTGCACCTGGTGAACACTGTACATCACACTGTGCACCTGGTAAACACTGTACATCACACTGTGCACCTGGTAAACACTGTACATCACACTGTGCACCTGGTAAACATTGTACATCACACTGTGCACCTGGTGAACACTGTACATCACACTGTGCACCTGGTGAACACTGTACATCACACTGTGCACCTGGTAAACACTGTACATCACACTGTGCACCTGGTGAACACTGTACATCACACTGTGCACCTGGTGAACACTGTACATCACACTGTGCACCTGGTGAACACTGTACATCACACTGTGCACCTGGTAAACACTGTACTTCACACTGTGCACCTGGTGAACACTGTACATCACACTGTGCACCTGGTAAACACTGTACTTCACACTGTGCACCTGGTGAACACTGTACATCACACTGTGCACCTGGTGAACACTGTACATCACACTGTGCACCTGGTGAACACTGTACATCACACTGTGCACCTGGTAAACACTGTACATCACACTGTGCACCTGGTGAACACTGTACATCACACTGTGCACCTGGTGAACACTGTACATCACACTGTGCACCTGGTGAACACTGTACATCACACTGTGCACCTGGTAAACACTGTACTTCACACTGTGCACCTGGTGAACACTGTACATCACACTGTGCACCTGGTAAACACTGTACTTCACACTGTGCACCTGGTGAACACTGTACATCACACTGTGCACCTGGTGAACACTGTACATCACACTGTGCACCTGGTGAACACTGTACATCACACTTTGCACCTGGTAAACACTGTACATCACACTGTGCACCTGGTAAACACTGTACATCACACTGTGCACCTGGTAAACACTGTACATCACACTGTGCACCTGGTGAACACTGTACATCACACTGTGCACCTGGTGAACACTGTACATCACACTGTGCACCTGGTAAACACTGTACATCACACTGTGCACCTGGTGAACACTGTACATCACACTGTGCACCTGGTGAACACTGTACACCTGGTGAACACTGTACATCACACTGTGCACCTGGTGAACACTGTACATCACCTGGTGAACACTGTTACATCACACTGTGCACCTGGTGAACACTGTACACCTGTGAAACACTGTACATCACACTGTGCACCTGGTGAAACATCTGTACATCACACTGTGCACCTGTAACACTGTACATCACACTGTGCACCGGTGAACACTGTACATCACACTGTGCACCTGGTGAACTTCACTGTACATCACACTGTGCACCTGCTGAACACTGTACATCACACTGTGCACCTGGTGAACACTGTACATCACACTGTGCACCTGGTGAACACTGTACATCACACTGTGCACCTGGTGAACACTGATACACAACTGCACCTGGTGAACACTGTACATCACACTGTGCACCTGGTGAACACTGTACACCTGGTGAACACTGTGCTTCACATCAGTCAACAGACAACATGTAAAAACAATTGTTATACAGATATTTCGATTAATACTTTTGCAGACTACAATTCTGGTAAATATATGAAGAACACATTATTTTCCACATAACCATAAATGATCTTATAAAACCTCCAAGTATTGTGAATGCCGGAGACTCTGTATCCATCATGGTGTAATATCTACTACAGTGTTTTAGCCAGTCACTCTCTTAGTCCTGTCTACACATCACTTCTACTACAGTGTTTTAGCCAGTCACTCTCTTAGTCCTGTCTACACATCACTTCTACTACAGTGTTTTAGCCAGTCACTCTCTTAGTCCTGTCTACACAACACTTCTACTACAGTGTTTTAGCCAGTCACTCTCTTAGTCCTGTCTACACAACACTATCAATTATCTTATACTGTATCTGGAGTAGATGCTAAGAAAATCTAAACTATCCTCTTTACACCATAAATGAATTCCTATTTTTTTTTAACTTCAATGATTATCTGCTACCAATGTATGGTGACCCAAAGAAAAAAATACATTCATCATTATTCATTTAACCACTGTCCTTTTAAAAGTGTACTGACATCACAATTCAGATCACCTTCTGACTGCAACAGCTCCAACTCTCCCTCAGACTGCATGTACTTATTTATAAACTTTTACAATTGAAAAGTTACTATTTATTCTAAAAGGATATTCAAAGAATGTGAATGATATGGTAATGAAATTGGAAAGGTTTGACGTGACTGGATCCATGCAAGTGATTATACACATCACACACATTAGAGGCAAATTATCATACCTAAAAGTGATATTCCAAATGCAGAGAGTCCCTGCACAAGTCCATTTACAAGACCAGACGGTTGATAGCGTCGACCAGCTTCACTTCGTTCAATGTGATCTTCATCTAGTGAGAGACGTTCCATGTTGCGTGCCAGTGAACTTGCTAAATTCGTTAAAGATACCACTGTACCTGTAAGAATTAGCTTTTTTCAACACACAAGCAGTCTTGTCAAGATAGAGTGAACTGAAAAAGATAGACTACTTCTACAGTCATTTATTCAATCACAGTCTCTCAAGAAGTGGGCTGACATCACAGTTCAGAAGACCCCTCAAACTGCAATGTCCTCAAACTTCCATCAAGGTGCAGGCTTTGTACTTTTGACCACCAGGACTCAAGCCAGGCTAACCAGTTTTCTTGAATCCCTTCATAGATTGCTCACACTACAACAACACATCAAATCATAGAAACCACTTGCCTCTACTCACTCTTAACCCTTTCGGGGTTTCGGCCGTACTAGTATGGCTTATGCACAAGGGTTTTTGATGTACTAGAACGCCTAAATTCTAGCGCCCTCAAATCTAGTGAGAGAAAGCTGGTAGGCCTACATATGAAAGAATGGGTCTATGTGGTCAGTGTGCGCAGTATAAAAAAATCCTGCAGCACACAGTGCGTAATGAGAAAAAAAAAAAACTTTGATCGTGTTTTTGGATTAAAACAGCGGCTTTGCACTGTATTTTCGTATGGTATTTATTGTTGTATTCTAGTTTTCCTGGTCTCATTCTATAGAATGAAAGACATATTACAGAAATGGAGATGATTTTGACTGATTTTGCAATGAAAAGTACCTTGAAATTGAGCTCAAAGTAGCAGAAATGTTCGATTTTTACCAAAGTTCAAAAGTAAACAAATCATGCTAAGCATCCAATACACGTGAACTGGTGAGTCTAATATTCTTTCACAAGTGTGCTGATATTATTTATACCATTTTTTACACTAATGCAGTAGTCTGCATAACAGTAAATCTTCTATTTTTTGTGAGAATAAAAATTTAAAGTGGAAAGCAAAAGAATGTAAGAGGGGCGTTGGGACATGACTAATGAACAGAGAAAATGTCATTTTAGTGCCAGGAATGTCTTTCTTGTTTATTCTAGACCCTATCTGGAAATTGGCATCTTTTGAAATTTGTGTGAAATTGGCAAAATTGCTAAATTCTGACCACTTAATTGGATAGTTGAAATCGGTAGATGGGTGGTTTCTTGCACTCACTTGATAGAAAAAATGGAGCTCTACCGAAATATTCATGATTTTTGTCGACTAGTACAGTGAAATTGGCCGAAAATAGGGCTCAAAGTGGGCAAAATTGTTGATGCGTAAACATCGTCGAGACCGCTAACTTTGCAAGAGCATAATTCCGTAAGTTTTCCATCAAATTTCATACTTTTGGTGTCATTATGATCAGGAAAAGATTCTCTATCTTTTCATAAGAAACAATAAATTTTTTTTTTTTTTGAAATTTTGGCGATCCTGAGAACAAGTCTCTGAGAGGGCTTGTCGACCCTGAAAGGGTTAAGATGCTCACACAAGGCTGTTGGATGTCCAAGCAACTCTTACAACCATAGATGTTATTAATATAAAAGATAAATATCATCAAAAGAATGCACATATAATTCTACTACAGTGGAACTCCGGTCATCGAGCGTAATCCATTCCAGAAGGTCGGCCAAAATCTGAAAAAGCCGAAAACAGAAGTAATATTTCCCATAAGAATTAATGTAAATCCAATTAATCGTTTCAGACACCCAAAAATATTAACAAAAAATACATTTTTTAAAGATTAACTATAGTTTTACATAGAGAAAACAATGAGAAATAAATATAAAGCACAAATTTTAAGGATAAATGAACATTACATACCTTTATTGAAGACTCTTGTTGGAGTATTGAAGAAGGCAAGGAAGGGAGAGGGAGTTGGGAACCCCCCTCCATAAGGACTTTAGGTATCAAAACCCTCTCTCTAGTTACTTCCCCCATTCTTTGTCATTTACTGCCCCAGTACATTCATTGCTTACCTTAAAATATTTGGAGTCTTAATGTAGGGCAAGAGGTGAGTAGTATATATTTTTAGGAAGCCAGTGTAGGCAGCAGTAGATGTAGGTACACATATGTAGCCCCCCTGGGCTACACTTCACAGCCATATTATTACCATGTTCACCTTCAGATGCCATCATAAACAAAGGGAGAAGTAATGAATAATTCATGCCGAGAATTGTAAACAAACGCATATGAAGGGCAGTGACACTATGTACACTAGTGTTTCATGTAACACTATGTACACTAGTGTTCCATGTAACACTATGTACACTAGTGTTTCATGTAACACTATGTACACTATGTCCCATGTACACTAGTACACTAGTGTTTCATGTAACACTATGTACACTAGTGTTTCATGTAACACTATGTACACTAGTGTTTCATGTAACACTATGTACACTAGTGTTCCTGAACACTAGTACACAGTTTCATGTAACACTATGTACACTAGTGTTTCATGTAACACTATGTACACTAGTGTTTCATGTAACACTATGTACACTAGTGTTTCTTTATAACTATGTACACTATGTTTCATGTAACACTATGTACACTAGTGTCTTATGTAACACTATGTACACTAGTGTTTCATATAACACAATGTACACTAGTGTTTCATGTAACACTATGTACACTAGTGTTTCATGTAACACTATGTACACTAGTGTCTTATGTAACACTATGTACACTAGTGTTTCATGTAACACTATGTACACTAGTGTCTTATGTAACACTATGTACACTAGTGTTTCATGTAACACTATGTACACTAGTGTCTTATGTAACACTATGTACACTAGTGTTTCATGTAACACTATGTACACTAGTGTCTTATGTAACACTATGTACACTAGTGTTTCATGTAACACTATGTACACTAGTGTCTTATGTAACACTATGTACACTAGTGTTTCAAAATAACACAATGTACACTAGTGTTTCATGTAACACTATGTACACTAGTGTTTCATGTAACACTATGTACACTAGTGTCTTATGTAACACTATGTACACTAGTGTTTCATGTAACACTATGTACACTAGTGTCTTATGTAACACTATGTACACTAGTGTTTCATGTAACACTATGTACACTAGTGTCTTATGTAACACTATGTACACTAGTGTTTCATATAACACAATGTACACTAGTGTCTTATGTAACACTATGTACACTAGTGTTTCATATAACACACTGTACACTAGTGTTTCATGTAACACTATGTACACTAGTGTTTCATGTAACACTATGTACACTAGTGTCTTATGTAACACTATGTACACTAGTGTTTCATATAACACTATGTACACTAGTGTTTCATATAACACAATGTACACTAGTGTTTCATGTAACACTATGTACACTAGTGTTTCATGTAACACTATGTACACTAGTGTTTCATGTAACACTATGTACACTAGTGTCTTATGTAACACTATGTACACTAGTGTTTCCTATAACACTATGTACACTAGTATTTCATGTAACACTATGTACACTAGTGTCTTATGTAACACTATGTACACTAGTGTTTCACATAACACTATGTACACTAGTGTTTCACATAACACTATGTACACTAGTGTTTCATGTAACACTATGTACACTAGTGTCTTATGTAACACTATGTACACTAGTGTTTCATGTAACACTATGCACACTAGTGTCTTATGTAACACTATGTACACTACTGTCTTTTGTAACACCATGTACACTAGTGTCTTATTTAACATTATAGATAGTAGTGTTTCATGTAACACTATGTACATTAGTGTCTTATGCGGTGCATTTCAAGGTGTTTTAATACTGGCAACACGGGAAGATACACACCACACAACATACGCCATAAATTTGTACAAATAAATATTTGCCTTACTTTTTTTTATTTTTGTCTTCTAACATTGTGTGTAAAAGGAAATCTTATGATGTTACAAATTTTTCAAGGTTTAATGCTCCTTAAAACATGAAAATAAGTAACACCGCTTGACTTTACTGGGTTATACTGTGGGAGATTAAATCTACATAAGTATGCTTTTATTTAGGTTATACGTATACGCAAGGCATACAATTATAATTATGATGGTTTGAGGGAACACTGGTGTTATGGCACATAATGGCACACTATATACACTTAGGATAACCCAAGAAAGTCAAATATTGAAATTTATTACAAGTGTTTATAACACCTGTGTGCTCTTAACACCAGTGTATACAATATTTCTATGAAAGGTACACAAACATTGTATTCAATATTTCTATGTTATGAACACAATGTGTATAATATTTCTGTGACGTGCACATTGCACACAATATTTCTATGTTACTTACATAAACATTGTGTACAATATTTCTATGGTACGTACACAAACATTGTGTACAATATTTCTATTTTACGTGCACAAACATTGTATACAATATTTCTATGTTACGTCCACAAACACTGTGTACAATATTTCTATGTTACGTACACAAACACTGTATACAATATTTCTATGTTATGTACACAAACTTCGTATACATGTATTTCTATGTTATGTACACAAACATTGTATACAATATTTCTGTTACATACACAAACATTGTATACAATATTTCTATTTTACATACACAAATATTGTATACAATAGTACATATTTCTATTTTACATACACAAACATTGTGTACAATATTTCTATGTTACATACACAAACACTGTATACAATATTTCTATGTTATGTGCCCAAACATTGTGTACAATACAGTAGACCCTTGATAATCATAAGGCTCGAAAGTTATAATTTTTGAAAATCGTAGTTATTTTTATCAAAACATTGACTCACGAATCATCGTTTGACTCACAAATAGTCATTCGTCCCAGACGCATACTCACGACTCTGAGCCGCCTCGCACTCCCTTCCCAGCCAGTGTGGCATTGTTTACCAGTTAGTGATGGTCCCCTCACTTGTTCATACGAAATATTTCAAAATACACCTACTGTGGAAAATTGCATTTTTCTGAATGTATCATTATGTACATAACAGTAAATGAACAAAGATAATTATTATTTACCAGTTAGACAAGTAGGAATTTGGGACACCTAGGTCGCAAAAAATGT